CCATGAAGATATCTTCCCGAAGATTTGACCTGTTTCATGGGAGAAACAAATGTTATGAATCTGCACCTTGGGACTTGGATTTAGATTTGTTCAAACTGTTCATATCAGATACCCCATTTAAAACGATGTTCTGAATTTTGAACGTGGCGTAAAGTGGAACTGGAGAAGTTTCACTTGTGTGCTTTAGCTGGAGAGTGTTCTGGTCATTTGGATTCAGAGGACTCTGTCCTGAGTGAGTTCACTTCAATATCAATACCTTTATCAAGTTGTCATGACGTATTGTTCCAGGAAATTTTTGTGGAAGCAAAAAATTTGAGCTTAATGATGCCCTAATTATCACTCTTGAGGGCTGAATATCATGATTATGAATAGATGTTCAGAGCACTAGGATAAAGCTGATACATAAATTAAAACTAACATATCTTGACAGAAATATAGGGTCAGAAATTAAAATTTAAAGTAAAATTATCCCAAAATAAGATGATAAATAACCTAATGTCTTCTAGAATAAATAAAAGGTGATATTACTTTATAAAAAAAAAGTGATATTAGAAAAGTTACCAAATTATAATAAAACTACTTAAATGGGAAAATATGCTGAATGATACGATATTTAGTCTGTGATATTCAAGGGTTACTGAAGAGTGAAAAATTGTAGGGTAGGTGGAAAATAGAAGATTAAGTAGTCTGGTATAACAGGACATCTTCAAGTGAAAATAGGGAAGGCATTATATGACATAAAATTCTTGAGACATTGTTTTACTCTAATTGGAAGATAACTGGGATCTTTGATTCTCTTACGAAGTGGCAAAATAATTTGGCTGTTCTATTGTCTGCACATGTTAGCCTCTTACCATCTCTGTTCTGATTGTACCAGGACGATGGAATACTAGTTATTCCCACTGTTGCAGACAGTCCTTTAAAGCTTGATACAAAGAAAAGGTTTTCTTCTGAGTTTTATGACAGAACTTTCGCATTGTCAAGCATTTCTAGTATGTCTGGATGTTGTCAGGTAATGTAAAGTGTTTTAGCATTCAAATATGATCCTTTTCTCCCTTTCTCTATTAGTTATTGATCTGACACTTCACACTTTGATTGACTTATATAATAGTCTTGCATCATTTACAGGTTACAATTCCATTAGGATATTCCAATGATTGCTCTGTTTCTGTCTCATTCGTCTCTTTCCATGGAGCTGATAAATTTCTTCTTAATACGGTCTTGGATATGCATGCAACTCTTCAACAGCAAGTTAGTGATGTATCCTCCTGTTCTTTGTCGTTCTCAGATATGAATGGTAGCATGGAAACTTCAGAACTTCTGAAGGAGAAGGTTAGTTTTCTCTTGGCATTTTATCATCCTAGACATTTTTTCCTTAAAAAATTGTTAATTTAATCTAATCTTAATAATGTCAAATTTCATTTTGGAAGGGATAATTATCATGCCATGAGCAACTTTTAAGTTTCAGATTTGAAAATTTTGAAGTCCATTATGTAAATAGCCCATATTTTATGTTTCTATGATTTAGCTAATGTAGACCTAATTGCCCCAACATTAACTTAAATACTTTATCATTTGAGGTTCGGAAATAATTCAGGCCAGAGAAGAAGTTCAGAATAATTGGTTACGTTAGTAAAATGGGGATGATATTTATGAATCATCTGAGTTGGTAAATAAGGTTTTTAGATTAGACAATGTAAAATGGTGTTTTAGAAGTGTGATGTTTAAATGCAATGCTAATTCGTTTGTGTAATAAGCCTGGCCCAGTTGTCTGTGCGCATAATCATTTGTATGTGTATTTAACCACTATTATGAGATGGGCTGAGTATGAGTTCCAGTTATACGCACTTAGTTTAGACCATTTTGATAGCAGCTTTTATAGCTGTAGGGTGAATTTTATCTAAGCTATTCAAGAAGATCCCGTTGTCGAATGTGTAAGGTGCTGCAGTAGGAAGCAGGTTTGTAGGGTTTGGCATCACATGGTTTCTAATAGAAGAATCTTATTCAGGGAAATGCAGCATTTAAGGGAAGGCAATGGAATAAGGCAGTTAATTACTATACTGAAGCTATCAAGATGAATGGATTGAATGCAACTTACTATTCCAATCGAGCAGCTGCTTACTTAAAGTTGGGATGGTATGGAGGTTTTTACCATTTATCAATTTTCACTTCCATCTTTTACATTCTTTTCTCTGTCTGATATGTGCTTTCGTTGTGGGATTTGCAGCTTTCAGGAAGCAGAAGACGACTGCAATAAAGCTATACTACATGATAAGAAGGTACGAAGACGGGCAAGGGGCAGTGACTACTTTTATTTGTTTGTTTAATTATTTCGGCCAAAAGCAGTTAGTAATTTTTTTGAAATTATAATGTTTTAACTCGTAGATATCAGTTGCACGATAGGATCTTCCTAATATCATGATGAATGTTACAATATGTAAAGTTCATAATAGCATGATCGGTATTACGATATGTAAAGTTTTATTGCCAACTTTGCCAAAAAAACAAGTTCTATTACTGAAAGGGGAGAAATGAAAATCAAAGTTCTGGTCACACCATGATATGTGAGGGTATCTGTCTTAAGGAGTAGACGAGTAGCAACTGAATCACTCGTATCATTGGATACCCGCCAAATCTGCCATCTACTATTTATATTGCGTCTCAATTTTGCTAAGAATAGTGTGTTGTTATTTCCATGCAGAATGTGAAGGCATATCTGAGACGTGGAACTGCTAGAGAATCACAACTACGATATAAAGAGGCTTTAGAAGGTGTGTCCTGATCTTTAAAGAATCACCTGAAATTTCGTTAAAGAACTGGTTTTGAAATATGCCAAGTTTACAGGGGCCATTTCCAGGCAATTTCCTGTATTTTAGATTTAGATGTCCAAGATTGCCTAGACTTTTGCATTTCAAATTTGTTTTCCTGATTCTTGAAGTCGTAAGTTTTTCATTACTGCAGCATGATCCTAAACTTCTATGAAAAATATTGAGATTTTATGGAGAAAAATAATATTTTGGGAACTTTTACTTCATATTTTATATCTGCAAAATTTTTCTTTTTAACCTTTTTCAATTTCTCATGCTATGCAGATTTCAAGCATGCTCTGGTTCTTGAACCACAGAACAAGACTGCAAGCGATGCTGAGAAAAGAATCAGAAAATCGATGAGTTGAATTTGGCTCTCTTAGAAAACATTTCCCCTTGACTTCCCTCCCTGCTGGAGAGAATGTCAATGGCTGCTGGAAAATGAGACTTTGGATTCTTTTCATTACTGTCTATCTTCGAAGTGCAGGTGACTTGAAGAGGACGGAGTAGACGTGCCTATGTTGATTAGGTGCTGCAAATTTTGATCCTTTTATGTGTATATTTTATTTTATTTTTTGGTTATATAATAAGTTTGTATATTTGCGACTTTCGATATACTTTTACTTCGTGTCATTGTGGGAATGACTAGCTTTGTACAAGAATTATAAACCCTGTTAATTCGTTGACTGCAAGAATTTCATGTTTACAGCCTAAGGTCAGAAAGCGGGCTATATGTAGCTAAAGGTGGAAATAGGCCAAGCTGTCTGTCAGGGGTCTGTGGCCTGGCCTGTAAATGGCTTGGACTATTTAATGCTACATGATGTAGCATCCTTGTGATGCAAAATGGATGGTCAAACCTGGTGTGGATAGGAAAGAAAAAGGAATAGTTACTATTTATACCAGGAAAATTTTATTGGCAAATGATGTACAGTTTATTTCTCACGAGAAAAATGAAAAATGTTTCATTGGCTCTGGAGTGAAAATAATAAGGGGTAATTGATCATAAGTTTGAGCAGAAAATTAATTATGCAAAGATGTTTGGAATGTGTTTAAAGAGTCAGGTGGAATGTGTTTTAAACTGGTAAAATTTTGGAAAATCCGCACTGGGGGTACATATATTTTTTAATTTTCAATTTTCAATGTATTTTATGCAAAGATGTATTTTGAACTATTTTTAAGTTTGCTTTATTAAAATCCTTAACTTTTGCATAAAGATTAAAAATGCTAAAAGAACAAAGTTAAAAGAGTATTGCTAAAAATATAAAATTAAATAATTTTAAGAGAAAAAAATTACATAGGTATTAAATTAAAAATTGGAAGGAAATATTTTTCTAAAATTTGTCTTTATGTTTTAAATATGTTTATATTATGTAAGGATTGAGTCTTTAGTAGCTTTGCATGATTAACTTTTTTTAATTGGGATTTTTTGAACAATATTTCCAAATAATAATCAACAGTGATTCTGTTAATGAAATCAAATTGGATCAAACTCATCCTTTTTTTGGTTACCATAAACACGGAATTAAAGTTTAGTACTCTTTTAGTCTTAAATATATGATCTATTTGGTACTGTAATTTACATTACAAATTTACACTACAAAATGGATCTTATATTTAGAACCGGAATGAATTTTTTTTTAAGAAATATTTTAATCAATATAAAATTCTGCCAATCCAATCCCAAATAGCTGACTTCTCAATATCTTTTTTTTTTTTATTTGGGGATGCAATTCTCAATATCTTTTTTAGTAGCCTAGTAGTCTAATTACATCAACATAGGCATACGTTTAAACTAAATATAAACTTCCTTAAAACTAAAATAAACCTCTAAAATATGAGATTTATTTATTTATTTGCCACAATAAGTTCTGAGATTGCTAATTTTAAGGAGAAGTAATTTTAGAATAAATAAAAATTGAAAAACACCACCAATTTTTCTGGCCAGAAGATATACAACCTTCAAATGCTGGATTCCAAAAATCACTCTGGAATACCCAACAAGATCAATTGTATTTCTTGGATTCTTTTGCCTTTCGGTTTGGCCAATAACTGTTTTTTCTTCGCGTCCTTAAAGCCTCCAAGGATTAGGAACATCTTATTCCCGCAACCAAACAAACCGAAAACCCGTTGCATGTACCAGTTTCCTGAATTGGCAATTCTCCAATCTCAATCCTTGCATGTCGATGCCTGCTTCCTCTTCATCTTCTCTCGACACGTCCTGTTCCTCTTTTATATGTCATCAATATAGACGCTTCGCTTAATTTCTGTGCGAGGAAGAGGACAATAAAGGAACAGGAAGACTCCACCGATTCAAACCACAATAAATTAGAAGAGAAAGAAATCCAATTGATTATCACGGAAAAGGAAAAAAAAGAAAAAAGAATAACGACCCCATTGTCAAATTTTTGTGAGGTATAGAGATTTGAAACCCCGTCATGTTTTCTAAATCTTCTAAATGCTTCAGCTTCACCGTGTACAGAGATTGGCTTTACCGTTATTCATTCACGAACGCCGGACTCCGATCGGTTATAACCGACCTCGGTGATGGGACCACCATGCATTGTTGGGTTCCCAAATCCCTAAAACCGAACAAACCTTCGCTTATTCTCATCCATGGATTTGGGGCAAACGCAATGTGGCAATACGGTGAGTACCTTCGGCATTTTGTCCCCCGTTTCAACGTCTTCGTGCCGGACCTCCTCTTCTTCGGCGAGTCATCTACGTCGCGTCCCGAGCGGACGGAGTCGTTTCAGGCTCTATGTGTGAAGAAGCTGATGGAAGCACATGGGGTGTGGAGGATGAACGTGGTGGGGATTAGTTATGGTGGCTTTGTGGGGTACAGTGTGGCGGCGCAGTTCCCGGAGGCGGTGGATAAATTGGTGTTATGTTGCTCTGGGGTATGCTTGGAAGAACAGGATATGAAAAATGGATTATTTAAGGTTTCGGATTTGGATGAGGCTACTAGCATTTTGGTGCCACAGACGCCTGAGAAGCTGAGGGAACTGATGCGGTTTTCGTTTGTGAGGCCTGCCAGAGGCGTGCCTTCTTGGTTCCTTACTGATTTCATTGAGGTAAGCTTCTGGATTTTCTGCTTTGAAACATGAATTTGTTTGTGTGTTGAAGTTTCAAATTCAGGGAAAGCATAAAGAACAGAGAGTCCTTGTTTTTTTTTCCCCCTCGGGTGCCAACAAACAGAGTCCTAATTAATGACTACATATTTTTGGTATATCATGATAACTGTACCCTCGTAAATCTCCTCCCCCAAGGGTATGCCTGCTTTTTGAGTGCTCGAAGGAATTTTCTTCTGAAGAAACAGGGTGACAATGAGATATATCGTCCCTGTCAATTAACTCTTTGGTATATCTCTTGTATATGTTGATATACATGTTGTGGATCTCAATATATTAGTTTATATTTATAATAAAACCTTTAGCAATTTGTCATGAACATTTTTCAAATTCTATGTGATGCCCAGGCAAATGTTTTTAGTTTATGACTCTATTTTACATGACATAAAGCTGATATAAGATTCTAGTACGACCAAAGCTAGAATCTCTTTTAATTAAGGTAACTTTTACTAAGCAGGAAATGACATATGAAACAAATCTGACTGTTCTATCAAAGTAGTTTGGATTTTGTGGGGCCTTCCTTTCGTTCACCACCCTTGCTTGCAGATAGGTTCCTGATCATATGATTTTTTTTTTTTTTTTGCTGGGGATCATATGAGAAGTTGGAAGCGCTGATTTTTTCCTTTTCAATAACGCACCTAAACTTGTAATGGAACTCTGTTGTCTCGAAGTGTGTATGTTATCCTTATTTATCAAACTTACAAGATGGGTGTGTATTGGATTTGCGACAACGCTGCACTATTTTAGATCATCATCTGTATTTTATGTGTGATCACTGTGGAATATCCTCATTAATTTTGAGACTCAGCGATATAATTAAGATTCAGTTTATCTTGGCAAATGAAGGCTACTGCAAATGAATTGAAGGAAATTACCATAAGAATGCGATTGTAACATGAAATTTTCAGCTAAACGCTCAAAAGATATCTCAGTATAGAAGATGATACCAAAGATTTGTATTTGTTTATAAATTCTCCAGGCGGATGGATAATACCCGGAATAGCTATTTATGATGATGTCATTCAACTCATACTTGAGAATTATGTGCTTGAACATTCATTCAGAAAGAAGTCAAACCAGCAAAATGAGCTTAAAACTCATATTTAAGAGGCTGAAATTCTTGTGCTTAAGGCTTGTACTGATACGGAAGTTAACTTATCTTAGACATCATTCTGTAATTTAACATTGTCTCCTCATCTTCTCAGATAATTAACTATGTTCTTGTTAATTAATTTGGACAGGTGATGTGTATGAAACATGTTGAAGAGAAGAAAGAACTCATTGCAGCAATACTCAAAGGTCGACAACTTTCCAACCTTCCCAAGATCACCCAGGTAGATTCCTCACTGTTGCAGGACGTAAATGTCATGTATGCATACTGATGGACAATTTTTAGTAGTGTCTTACCTGCAGATTCTTTAAACATGAAAGTGTAGGAATATAGCCAATTCTTTCTTGGCACTCTGTCATTCTTGATTATATTTTGCTTTTGCTGTTGAGATTTTTAACGACGCATACCATCCTTGAACATTTCTTACAGCATACTGTTATATGTCCTCGCATGTCATAATTTTACCGAAGATTTGGATATGAAACACCTGACTGCATTGTGCTTTTGATTTAGAGAAAATAGTATGTCAGTGTTATTTCTTACAAGTTAGCTAGCATTTCCGCTATGTTTCATTTTGTCATACTTTTTCTTATGGTACAATAATGACAGCGATTCAAACGCAGGAACTTACAAGAATACTATAGTTCTTAGAATCTTATACTAGAATGGATATCTTGCCAGTTACAACTTACAGCAAAGCCAAACAATTTGCTTTCTCTTGACGCATTGACTCCTAGTTTTCTCTTTCAAAATATGATAGTGAATCAAAAGAACAAAAATCGTACTCTCTTTTTTAATTTTAAAATATTGTGGGATTCTATTTGAACAGTCTACGTTAATTTTATGGGGAGATCAAGATCAGGTGTTCCCTCTGGAATTAGCCCTCAGATTAAAGAGGTGATGTTTTATTACTCATGATTTGCATCTGACATAATTTGAAAAACGATTGAAATTTGAATATTTTCTGGGACAGTCATATCGGAGAAACTGCTCAAATGGCAGTTATTAAGAATGCAGGGCATGCTTTGAATATAGAGAAGCCTAAAGAATTTGCCAAGCACTTAAAAGCATTCCTTATTGGACCACAGTCATGCAGCCACTCACCTTCTATCAAAGAACAGATTCAGAAGACAATATTTGATTTCCACAGGTCATGACAGAACATATCCCAAAGCATCCACAAGCTGGAACCAACTTTATTTATAGTGCTTTCTGCTTCAAAAGTGAGAGAAATTCTGAAGTATCGTGTAGAAACAGCCGCGAAAACGACATGCGGGATCCATGTGCCGATTTGTTATATATACACTATATGATGCTTGAGATTTTTTCAAAAAAAGAATGTATGGAAAGATCAATGCTTTCTTCATGTGATGGTAAGTGGATCAATCAGTACATGCAACCAAGTCTGATGCAGAGGAGCCTCTGTTTCTTTTTCACGAAATTTCCAGAAACGTATGTACATTGACGAATGGAATACCAGTTTAACGTACATATTACGTATAATACTGTTATCTTTAATTTGTTTTCACACTTGTTCTTACTGTGATTATGCTGTATTGAGCTGGCAAGTTATGTTCAAAGTTTCCCAGGCAATGATTTTCATCATGGTTTTTCCTTTAAGCCAATTCAGGTTCAAATTCCCCATCTTGTTCCAATTAAGCCCAGTTCTGTGTGTATAAGAGAAGAAAATCATTTAAGCCAGGCAATGATTTTCATCATGGTTTTTCCTTTAAGCCAATTCAGGTTCAAATTCCCCATCTTGTTCCAATTAAGCCCAGTTCTGTGTGTGTATAAGAGAAGAGAAGGATAATGAATACAATGATAATGAGAATATAATTTATTCCCCACAGAATATTAGGCATATAAAGCCTAAATTTAAGGAGAATGACAGTAAGGTATCAAAAGACGCCAGACAATTTTCTGAAAATTTAGTTACAAATATTAATTCGATTTTTTAAAGACATTTATTTTCTGCCATCATGAGCATTACAAGCTGATATATTTGCTTCTCTTTATTCTTATTTCAGTACTTATATTTGCTTCATTATTACTGCTTCATATTACAACAGGCCTTGAATGAATGTCAAATTTCTCAGAAGATGAAAGCTGCGGCTCCTGCAAATAATATTAGGAAACCCCATTCATTAGAATCAACTTCTTATAGAATAATGAACAAACTCATAAAACTGAATAAAATCATAAAGTAAACCAACAAATTTAAGTTGAACTCAATGACTACATACAAATTAAACGAGCAGGTTGTCAGTTTTAGGTCCGTTTAAACGATGTTATAAAACTGCATAGGTGTTTTCTTCAAAACTAGATATTACAATGAAAATGTACAGAGACTAATCCAATATTAGAATCAATAGATCATAACCATAAGTTAAAAGAAGAGAAGTGACGTACATGGACATAATGCTGAGGATGGTTAATGTGGAATCTTTGCTGATAAGCATTTAAGCCAATCTGGGACTTGGCTTCAATAACTATGGACCTCATTGAATGAAGCAAGTGGCCATAGCTCATTCCTGGTTGGTTTTTCATGGCTTGGATGAAACTCACTGTCAATGCTCCCCCATTCATTCCAAATACCTATTTCATCCATCAACCCATGCCAAAAAAAAAAAAAAATCAGTTCATTTCCCATTTAAATCCCAACTGGATAATTAACTAACTCCAACAAGGGATCTGAATATCTTATCATCTGTTCTCGCTTTTCCTTCCCTTTTTTGTTTTAATGAAGTCATTGGGTTCTTAAGAGATATTTAAGGTTAATACAGGCCATAAATATTTAATGAAATTGGTCATATATTTCAAATAAGAAAATTAATACAAATAGGTGATATTTTTAATATTAATAGATCTCAATGAATTTAATATTTATAAGTTATGAATTGCGTCATTAACAAGTCAAACTTATAAATATTAAAAAAATATTAAATGAAATTAAGAAAACATACTTATATTTGATGTTTTTATCTTGAATCTACCCGAAATTTTTCTCATAACTTAATAATCACATGCCATTGGTAGCATAAAACAAATAAGGATTCAATATTACATTCAACATTGTGAATCTATCCGTACTTCATGTTATGCACTTAACCTAACAATCAAATCAAGGGATATTTAAGAATGGAGAAAAGAGCAAACTAACCGAGGTGTCTCCAGAGGATCCATTGTCATCACAGGCAGATATGCATATAGCAAGCCCTCCATTGGTACCTTTATAATGAGGTTTCCCTCTCACATGATCTTCCCATCCATATTCACCAAACCTGTTCATGCGGCACATGAACCCTAAATCAAGAACTGTTCCGCTACTGCAAGTATCAATGATGGCGTGCAGTTTGGCTCCCGCCGGCAGAGGCTTCACCAGAACATCGTTTATGATGTCGTCTCGTAACTTTCCGGCATCCTCGTAATCTACCGGACATAGTGCTTCGTCGTAGCCGTCGTCCTCGTCCATGTCGTTGTCGGCCATCCTTGATCCATGGCCTGAGTAGTGGAACACCAGTGAGTCGCCTGCCTTGCATCCCCTCACCAGCATCTTCATTGCCTCTATCATGTTTGCTTTTGTCGGCATTGTTTTCCAGTTACTATTCTCATCGTCTGCACATATACATTCATAGCTTCCTTTATCAAAAAAGGTTACTCTTCCCATAGCTTAATATACAAACTAATTAAAAGTTGAATTTGGTGCCAAGCACAAGATTTTCATTCACTTTTTTTTTTTTTTTGAAAAACAAGTTTATTGGAGGTACCTATACTTTTTTTCAATTTTCAATTTGGTACTTATATGGTTTTTGTTCTTAACTAAATCTTTATTTTTCCTCTATTAACATCATTAATCCTTATGTAGAGACTAAAAATATCAATAGAACAAAGTTATAAGAGCTAATGTTGCTAAAAAGATAAAATTAAATGTTTAATTAAAGAGAAAAAAAACACATAAGTACCAAATTAAAAATTGACAGAAAATATAGGTACCTTCAATATGGTTTTCCCTATATATCTTAATATATAAGAATGGTAGAGATTCAATTTGATTGTCTTTCATATTTATTTATTTATTTTAAAGTAATCCTCACGGTAATTATATATGTTAAAGATTTTTCATTATACGAAAGTTTTATTACAAATAATTAATAAGTAGAGTTTAGAAAAAACAACATATATTTATTACACATAATTAACTTAACTAATTTTTTTAATATTTATAAATTAGTTATGATATTAAAGACTACAATTATTATAATCTAATATTATGTATAGGTATTTAGAAGAGATTATGTCCCATTTGTCATGATTAATCAATTGATTTGATTTCTTTAATCTTCCAAAATTAATTAAATAGCTAATCATATTAAGGACTAGAAGTTGTGATGTTGTACATAGTATTCCTTCTGTCTTAAATACAGGAGTTACATAACTAATTTAAAGATATTAAAAATACTAATTCAATTAGTTATTCCTAACAAATATGTACTCATTTTTTCTAAAATATCCCTTTAATTATTTATGTTAAAAACTATTTTTGTTAATAAAAACCCTCTTAATACATGTAATCAGTATAGTTATTTAGAAAATTATAAATTATAAATTTTTCAAATAAATTGAATCGAGGTAACATATTTATGATTAGGCAATCTTCAAAATCTTGTACCTCTGAGGACGACAATGGAATGAGGAGGGAATCCAAGGTTGTCAATGAGGAAGGCTTTCATGCGCAGGACATCGTTGACTGAACCCTTCAGAGCATGTGGTCCCTTCCCGTAAGTGATTCCACACAGCAACGCCCTCTTGTTGCCGCCGCCGCCGCCGTAGAATGGAGAAGGACCACCCATCACCGGTGGTGCTGCTAATTGTGGCTGTGGCCTCATCACCACCGGCCTCGGCTGCGGCTGGTAATACCCGCCGGCCCAGCTGTTGTACCGAGCCGGCGGAGCTCTATACCCGTTTCCCTCCCAGTTGTTGGCTTGGCAATAATGTGGCACTCCCAGTGGCTTACCACACTCGCAGAATCTCCCTCTCCTGCACGCCATTTCCCCAAGACCGAGAAAGAGAATGGATCACAACGAAGAACAGAGGTTGAAGAAGCTATATAACTATATAAATATATATATTTATATATATCAATGTAAACGGTGACTCGTAATTATACTGTGTGTTGAAGCTGGTATATATATATTAGGATGCATGTGTATATGGTGAGGTACGCATGTATCAGAATCAGATGCACTCGTATTTATTAATTTGAAGGTGGAGAGGGAATATATATATATATATATATATATATATATATGTATGTTTGTATATATCTCTGGTTATTGGATCTCTTTATAGTAGAATTGGACTTGAGGCCTCTAATGTGCCAATTATGTGCTTTTCTAAAGCTACCTTTTGACAATAAAATTATGTAATTTTAAATTTTTACAATTTTTAAAGAAAAGAAATAAAATTTGCATAATTTTATATCATTAAAAAATCATATAAAATTTAAAACTGCATCATTTTATTGCTGTAAAATATCACTTATTTTATATAAAATTCAATAATAAAAAGAAAAAAAAATAGGGGAAGTGAATTAGGAGATTACAAAGAGGAACATTACAGAGGGCCACGTTAGAAAAGAAGTGGAGCATAAGACCTCAATATAAGTGACACTTATTATGGAATTTTATTATTTTGTGATTGTATTCTTGCTTAGAATCCCATAGTGGTTCTCCCTTTATTGCGATTAGTTTAATATTTATTGGTGACATTTTGAGTAGCGAATAGGATTCTATACGTAGCTGAGGAAACCAAAAGATGCGTAAAGAATTTGAAAAATCAATGGGTATTAGTGGTATTGCTTGCATACATTTGGCTTTTAATTTGGAGATATATTCAGTAGCAAATGGGTGGAGACGTGTGTTTCTAATTTCTTCTGAGATTCCTTCCTGAAATATTATCAAATTGGTATATGTTTGTCCTTGTCTATCCAGGGGGAAAGTTATCCTCAAAACAGCGGGCCGCTAAGGTTTTAAATAATTAATAATATGTATAATTTATATGCTTGATTAAACTCTATTTTCTGTAAATTCTTTTGATAATTAATATTTTTTATAATAATTTTATGACTTAGAAATAAAATAATAGATTATATATAATTTTATAATTCTTTTAGAAAATTGTACAAAATGAAACAGTACATCCAAGATGTAGGAAAAAATTATATACAAAGAATACAACAATTTTATATTTTCATATTGTAATTGTATGATGACGATTAGGGGACAATAATTAATACGATGGATCTTCAAATTTTATAAAAATTAATCAATATGCATGATATATAGACTTTGACATAAAATAAAATAATATCTTTGGCATATTTAAGTTAATCTAATTAATTAATATCATATGAAAATTAAATAGCAAAAAATTACATCTAATGGATCCTTTGAACCATATTCAAACTTATATACTGTAGTATCGATCTTCGTTGGGCTTCAAAGGATTAGTCTGTTAGGGCTCAAAAATAAAAAAACTAGCCCATTAAGGTTCAAGGTTAGCCCTTTTGAACCTGCGTTTTTTTTTAATTATTATCAAAATATTTGTATAATTATGGATCAGTCTTTTATGAACAAGTCTGAAATAAAAAATTATTTAAAAGAACTAATACTTAAACTAGATAATTAATAAGAATTAGATGTCTTGAACTAGTAGAAGAACAACTAAAATCAATTTTTAATTCTTTCAAAGATGGTAATTGATATTCTTAGCATTATAATCACTATAGGAGCTAGTGAATCTTCTTTTACCATAAATTCACATGTCTGAACAAAATATAAAAAATTCTCTTATTCTAACAAATATTCAAGCTCTCATTTATACCCGTAGGTGTTGCATAATTTTATTTTAGATAAAAGTGATGAAGACCAAAATCTTGATATTTTTATCACTAAAAAAGAGCCCATTTGTAGTGAAAAATAATCAAATATTGTTGATCTTGATGATAGTGATGAGGATGAGGATGAAGATAATAGTCATGTTGATATTATTAATTTTTAGCTGCTTGGTTTTTATTTTTTTCTATGCAAATATTTAGGACTTTCTCTTATTTTTATTTTAATTTTAATTATTCATTTTATCTTAATCAATTATTTATTTTGTAGTTAGTGACTTAGACATAAGTGAATGTTATTTTATAAAAAAGACCAAGCCTCTTCAATAAAGAAAACCCAAACAGAATCAATATGGTCATAATGACTATGATATAAAAAAGTTGACAACTTTAGAGTCATTCCTGCTATTATTGAAACCAAACATTCGAACAGTTGAGTTTCAAAGAATAAATTTGAAAGGTAGTCTATTGGCCAGGTATAGTAACCCGTTACTCTTGTGCCTTTAAAAGCACCAATGGTAGGACTCTCTATTGAGCGAAAAAAATTGAATTGATCGTTATCCCAGTACAGTGGAGAGTATAGGTTACTCATTGGCACCATGGAAAATGAGTAAATCTGCGTTCAAAACTTCTTTTGAAGCGACAATTAGCTTTAATAATAAGCAGGATTTGGTTTCTGTAATTAACAATTCGATTTGACCTACAGGATATGAAATCATGAGTAGCAATAAGCTCATTCCAGTCCCTAGCTACAAACCAAAGCGCATCTAAATAGGCTTTCAGCTTCTAGTCTCAGCAAAATTTCTTCAAATATGTGAGGAGCAATAAAAGAAATTCAGCCATTTGAGGCTGAGTTTTGCTTCCATGGATAGCATCCACAAAAGTTTCTTTCTTTTTTATAATATTAATTAATGATATTTTATTTACTATTACTAAACTAATCAATTTTTTAACAAAAAATATCATTATACGTATTTAGTTTACATAAAAAAAGATAAATTTATGACAAAGATAAATGTCTGTCTTTAACTATAACTCCGGTAGAAAATTAATGAAAGAAATTCCAAGATAAAAACCAAAACAAAGACTTAACTGAAATAAAATCAAATAACCGGGCAATTGACGAACCAATCAAAAATGACAAAAAGTAGAAGAACCTTGAAGTCAAATATCTGGAAACAAAAAACATAAGCATTTTGAGCTATCGGGAAATATAGAAAAGGAATCATAAATATTCATATTTATTATTTCAACAAATCATCAGCACAAGATCAAATAATAAACAATATTTGATAGAAAACGATGGCACTTGAAATATTCCGTTTCTTCCATGTGTTCTTCCTATCCCTTTTCTGTGTATATTTCCTAAGATCACGGATGCAAATAGTAGTATATATGATTGCTTAAGCAGTCAAATACAAACAAATAAAAAGATACTGGCTACAAAAAGGAAATTGATGAAAACGTTTATGTAGTTTACGAAGAGAATAATATAATCATTAATAATGTGTAATTAATGGCTCTAAAAAATAGGAAGAATTACAATCAGGTCTCAAGAAAAAAATAATTATAAAACAAGTCTTAAAAGTTGTCATTTATTACTTTAAAACTTATTATTACATGCTATTTAAGTTGTTATCATAACTTTTTCATAATTATTTTTTTTTAGAACCTCATTGTAATTCTTTCTAAAAAAATATTCATTTACATTGATTGCTAGATCCCAACCAACCCATTTTTCACTTCACCTGCGTTACAAGATTTTAAGAGTAAAGTTGGTTGATTGGTTGATGATTGAAGTTGATAGATGAAGATGGATTGATCGATGCATAATTGATATCTCTCAAATTTTATGCACAAACAAGCTCTTTATATTACAATAGTGGTTGCATGATTTGGCCACACAGTACATTATTTGCAAACATGCACTCTGAACTCATACCCCTTTTTTTTCTTTTGTCAACACTTCTACAATACATATATATATATCTCACAAGTTGGTATTAATGTTGTTGCTTTATGAGACGCGATGAGGGCTTCACTATTTGAAGTTGATGGATGGGTTCATATTACAACTGACTTTGAATGGAGTTGAAACGTCTCAGAAGACGAAAGCTGTGGCTCCTGCAAATCAAATCAAGACAAAATCCTCATTTAGCATCTCCTCCTATATATAGAGTCACCAATCAGATTGATACAACGTGATCTCCCTAAAATATTCTTATATCACACTAAATTATATATTATAGTTGATAAGTTAGATAAATTTGAAAAGAAATAATAAGTATTATAGATAAAATATATATTCGCTAAGGCTATATATGATTTTAATGATCCATAACATAGATTAAGGTCTTACATTAGAATAGTGCTGGCGATGGTTGATGTGGAATTGTTGGTGATAAGAGTTTAAGGCAAAGGGTTGCTTAGCTTGGAGGATTATGGATCGCATTGAGTGAAGCAAGTGTCCATAACTCAATCCACCAGTAGTGGCTAATTGGTTTCTCATGGCTTTGATGAAACTGTGAGTCAAGGCTCCACCACCCGTTCCAAATGCCTATTTCACCAGCAACAAACAATTAATAAACTTTAATATTGATTCCTTAATTCCTACCTAACATACATATAACTACACTAAAGTGGTTTCGGTGCTTGTGAAGAGTATCGAAATCTGGATGATCCAAATTTAATCTTTTTAAAGCGTATAGAATATAAAATAATAATAATAATAATCAATTATCGTCACCGAGGTATCCCCAGCGGATCCATCGTCATCACAGGCAGATATGCAAATGGCAGTCCCTCCATTTGTTCCTTTACAATGCCCTCTCCCTCTCATTTGATTTTCCCACATGTATTCACGTAACCTGCTTTCACAAACCAAACATCATTAACACACACACACACACACACGAGAACAAACATACAAACAGAGAATGTACTTCCACCTATTTTTAATATAAAAGTTAGTTAATGGTTGGATTTAATCATAAATATATATAACATCTTAATTTACTTTTTCTCTTCCGTATTTATCATTTTTTCTTAAATTAATTCACCTAACTTATAAATAGATATACTTCTCTGATCTTCAACATAAGACTTATTTATAATTTGATTAAATTAAGAAAGTTAGGTAAGTTAGTTAATTATAAAAAATATGATATGTTTTTTTTCTAAAGTACTATAGTTATCTTCCTTAATATCCCCATTCTCTCTCTTACTTGATTACAGTTGAGGTCTTAACGGAGTATCCATAAAGGTAATTTAAGAAAAATTGATAAATATAAGAAGTGAATTTTACACTTAGGATCAAAATTAACTCAATAAGTAGGTCTTATATTAATGACTAAAAAAATATAATCTAGTGTTATATAGGAATATTTTGGGAAGATCACGTTACATTTATTATAATTAACTTATTAATTTACCTAAATTAATTCAATTGCTTTTATATGAAGGATAAGAAGGAGTATGCTATCATGTCATGTAAATAAAATACTAGTTCGTTCGCATCGATGTATTACATGAATCATAATTACATGAACATGAATGAAACAGATGAGTAACGTACGAACCTGTTCATCCGGCACATGAATGGCAAATCAAGAACAGTGCCACTTTTGCAAGAATCAATAATGGCGTGAAGTTTGGTGCCACGAGGGAGAGGCTTAACGAGGATGTCGTTGATGGTGTCGTCCAGTATTTTGCCTGCCTTCTCGTAATCCACAGGGCATATTGCTTCGTCGTAGCCGTCGACCTCATCGCCGTCGTCGTCCACCACATTGGATCCATGTCCTGAGTAGTGAAACACCAGGGAGTCTCCTTCCCTGCAACCCCTCACCAGCAACCTCATGGCTTCTATTATGTTGGCTTTTGTCGGGATTGTCTTTGGGTTGTTATACATATCGTCTGCACCACATTATTACTCAGTTTTGTCGGATTAAAATCATAAATGTGTTGATTTTAAGAATATTCTCACCGCAATATAGAGTTTTAGGAACCCGGGGGGGGGGATAATTGTTAATATATCAATGTTGATCCTTACAATTTGATCAAAATTTGACTTTGATCCTTGTTATATTTTTTTTCCTTATAGTTTTATAAGCACTTGTTTGGAGTTAACAAGATTACATATCAAAATTAAAACTAATTTTAATTCATGTACTTTTAACAAGTTTTGTTTTTAGTCTTTGTATTTTTAATGAATTTTGTTTTTAATTGATCCCTATACTTATCCAGGTCAAGTAAAGGTTAACACCGTTACACTCAAAATAAATCTTTATGAAACGATAGGCATAAAAAAAACAACAATTTGAAAGTAAAAAGACTAAAACAAAAATTTAATCAAATTATAAAGACCAATAACAATAGTACTACTGTCGGTCTTTAATATAAGAGGTGGTTTAATTTTTATTTTGATCCTAAATATAAGACCTCAATCTAATTTGTCTCTTATATTTATCTAGTTTTTCTTAAAGTAATTCTTGTAGTAATAGTAGTTGTAGCTAATATATTTGATGAGTAAGGATATTTTAAGAAGACGACACTTGTTTATTACAAATAACTAACTTAACTAATTTTTTTTAATCTACTCAAATTAGTCAACTAGATTTTATGCTAAGAACTGGAGATAGTATCAACTAATAAAAAAAAAATGCATGTTGTGTGATCTTCAGTACACTTCTTAACCCTTAGAAGATGGAGACGTATACTTCCTTCAGTCTCTAGCATAGGAATTAGTTATGGATGGTTGAATTTAACTTTAAATATAAAACTTCAATGTACAACCTATCACTAATATATATATATATATATATATATAATACTCCATTCTTTCCTTCTTATAATGAACAATTATCAAAATTATACAATTTAAAATGTTAGTTAAATTTAGTTAATAGTAATAATTGTATAAGACATTTTTTTTTCAATTATACCCTTGTTTGTAAAAAAAGTACATAAAAGATAATGCGTGAAAACTTATCACAGAATGACATATATATTTGATGGAGGTAAAAATCTGAAGACTAGCTAGTTTAAAATTTCAAACAAATAGGATTTATTTTTTATATTTAGAGATATCATTATGAGAAAGATTATTCCTATAAAAAGGAGCGGAGGGAGTATAATGTTATACGAAGGTATTTTAAAAAGATCATATCATTATATCATAAGTAACTAATTTATTTAGCTTTTTTAATCTATCCAAATTAGTTAAATAGATGTTATATTTATCACTGAGAAAGTAGGTGTGTATGTGTATGTATAGGTGTGTGCATATACATGTAGCTATTCATGAAGGATGTGATTTTGATTTTCTATACCTCTGAGAAGGACGATGGAGTGAGGGTGAAATCCTAGGTTTTGAATGAGGAATTCTTTCATGAAGAGGACGTCATTCACTGAGCCCTCAAGTGGATGAGGTCCACTCCCATAAGTAATACCACATAACAACGCCCTCTTGTTACCGCCGCAATAGTAACACTCACCACCCATGAGTGGTGGCTGTGGTTGTGGCCGCGGCCTCACTGCCGCCACGGCTGGCCTGCAGGGCAGTTGCTGGTGGTACACACGGTTCGGAGCTCCGTGTTTATTAGACAGAGCCGGCGGGGCTCTAAACCCATAGACGACGACCCGGTTGTTGTTGGCTGGGCAATAATGTGGCACTCCTGGAGGTGCACCACATGCACAGCAGGATCTTTGTGAGATGGCTGCCATTTTCGAAGATTGAGGAAGAAAATGGGTGAGACTAGAGCTTAACGGAGAGGTTGAAGATGAGTTGTGTGTGATTTGGGACGACTAGATTGAGGAGTATTTAAGGTGCATGGAAAGCTGAAGGCATACTTTAGAATCATATCTACTTAGCTTCTACATATGCTTAGTGGAGACAGAATTGGATTCTGATAAGAGAACCAAAGAAATGGAAAAATTCATATTAGAATGTAGGAATGGTATATATATTATTGGTCATTGGTCAGGCTTCAGGCCTATATATGTTAACTAACATTCCGTGCTACTGTGGGGTGGTTTGATTTCCTATTTTTAAAACAGCTTTTGTTTTGAAAGATGCAAAATTAATTTAAAAAAATGTGTTTGAATATGTATGTTTAGTTATGCATTCTGAAAAATAAATAAAAAAAATCAAAACATCCTTTTAATACTCCTCCGGTCCTAAATATAAGACTCATTTTGATTGCACTACAAAATAGGTCTTATATTTAAGACTAGTGGAGTATTTATTCTTTAATTTGAATTATGAATAGCAATGTCATGGTATTTATTATTCTATATATTTTTCGATATTTCAAAGCAGATGAAAAAAAATTAAAATTTAAGGGGTGCTTGGGTGAAAAAAAGGGAGTGTTTGGATGGAAATCAAACTATGGTTTTAAAAATAATTTTATGGTACATAAAGTAAATATATGAAAAAATTTGCCTCAATTTACAAAAAATATACTTTTTAAAGGTACTTTTGGAGTGTTCCAAACACTTCCCTAATCAAATGACACCACGGTTAGAAGTATCAATAAAGAAAGCAGGTCTTGTTTGCTAAGTTTGTTTTTTTGTTTTGATTTATGATTTTCAGTTATCATTAAAAAAAATAGTATCAAGAAAGGAAATGTTTTATATGTCCACATGGAAAAGAACATTCTTCCATTATTATGGAGTGTTCTTTCCTATGTAGGACGAGAAGGAATCTATTAATGTTAGTTAAGAAGAATCTTTTAACAATAATTGTTATAAAAAATATTCTTCAATCTTGCGCATCTTTTTGGCTACGCCATGCAGCTTACGCAACATTAGTAGTATTATGTAAATGGATTTGGTTTCAATATTACAATACCTAAACCATTTAAAACTAAATTTAATAGTCAAAATTTAAAAATATTTTTGAAAATATGAAATCATTTTTATTTTAAATTTTAGATCTATCAAAATAATAATTTACCAAAAACACAAAATAAAATTTTATTAAATCGAGACCGTTAAGTTTTAATCGCTCCATATTGGTCAGCACTGTGACAGGTTCCTTCATTAGAATTCTCATATCAAACATAAACATATATTTGATGGGCCATTTTTAAGAAATAGGAATTATCTATATATATAACCATTACTTAAATGTTTCACTTGGCAATTAGCTGGCCCAATAGGATCAAGTTCACAAGGAACCGTGCATAGCACTGAAGAGGGAGCTGCCGAATACACCAGTTACGCCTAACATATAAAATAGATACATAAGAATATTGTGTTCAGGGAGCTGCCGAATACACCAGTTACGCCTAACATATAAAATAGATACATAAGAATATTGTGTTCAATCTAAAATATAATCATAAAGTTGAAAGTTAACACGTGTCGGTTTGTGTTATTATGGACATTTTTTTCTTGAGACAATTTCTCATTTCATGTGCATTTTTCATAAAACAAGACATTAGATTCGAATATGGCAAATGGAGAAATAATTAAAACTATCATTAAAAAAAGCTTTATACCTCTACCAAGTAAAGAAAAAGGGGCTTCATTAGATGGCATAATCCAACTTGACAAGACGGGACCAAAATAATTAATCGTATCTTAACAAAGCTTTTGAGATATCGATCGATTGGTACCTGAAATGATGGAAACATGTCACGCATAATTATTTGTTTCTGATAAGGTTGGTTTGAGAATTCCAACGCCGACTTCTGGTCAAAAAAAGAGAATTCCAACACCGACCAGGCTTCTTTTCTTGGGAATATTACTGTTACTTTATCGAAAGATTTTTATACGTTTAATCTTTTAATTTTATATAATTTTTTAATTTAATTTTTTTAATTTTAAAATATCATTTAACCTTAATATCGTTAATATTGAATAATATTTTTTATAACAATTATTGTTATTTTGAAAAAAAAATATATTGTATATATCAGGGTTTCATAAATTTTGCAAACATTTAAAATTTTAGTATTATCATTTGTCAACAAGATTAGAGTTTTAAAAATTGAAAAATCGAAAAGTTAAATTTTGTATAAAAATATATCTTAAATACAGGTAATGAAAATTTCATGCATATATATTACTCCCATCACTAAATATAAGACGTTAATATCAACAACTGTTAGTTAAGGTGATAAACGGTCTCACTCTTTAAAAAGGATAACACCAATTCAAATCTTGGGAAATGTACTTGTTAGGATGATTTTAATATTAAATGTTTCTAGCCAAAGTAACTTGATGATACCTTTAATTACACCAAAACTACAAGACATAATGTTTTTCTCCTACTTAATACCTTTCCCCTAACACCCTAAGTAATTTCACAGCCTTGTCTCTTTTTTATATTTCTCATACTACCTTTGATCCTTAATATAAGAGTTAATCTGATTTTTAATCTAGTCCTAAGTATAAGATTCCAATCTAATTTGTCTTTAATATTTGTTCATTGTTTTAAAGTGATCTTTATAATAGTTACACATATTAAAAGTTCTATCAAATGGTAGTTTTAAATAAAACACATGATTAGTAAGAGCATTTTAGGAAAGATAATACATATTTATTATAAATAGCTAACTTAACTAATTTTCTTAATCTATCTAAATTAGTCGATTAAATTTTATATTAAGGATTGGAGGTAGTATTTGATGTCCTAGTCAAATTTTAGAAGTGATTGCTACACACTTTTTACCTAATAACCATACATAACCAATTAAATTAATTTTTTTAATATTCATAATTTAGCTAACTTGATCTTATATCATGGATCGAAATAAGTGAAATTGTCACTTTTACTCGTTAATTAAAGTTATGCTAGATCACAATATTTTTTCGCACCTCCTCCTTTCAAACCGCCAAACTCTCCCTCTAATGCATTAGATTTTTCTTAACATATTCATCTGGTCCTATTTATAAGTCATTTCCAACAAATTCATATAGACCAATAAAAACCTTAAACTTTATTAACTCTCATTTAAAATTTAACAACTTTTTATCTTTATCTTTATTTAATATATATTACAGTACATCATAATAACAAAGTTAACACAATAATAAACGAAAGTTAAAATTATACCTCCATAAAAAAAATTTTCTTAGTGCCCTATAAATAGAAGTAAAAAAAAGCTATATGGCAATTAAGGTAGACCTAGAGAAAGCCTATGACAGGATGAGGTGGAACTTCCTAGAGAATGTGCTATGTGAGTTAAACTGTCCTATAGAGATGAGACATAGAATTATGATGTGTTACAACAACCTCTACAAAGATTCTTGGCACAGGGAAAAATTGGAGAGTTTTCAACCTACAAGAGCGACTAGACAAGAAGATCCTATCTCCCCTTACTTGTTTGTACTCAGCATGGAAAAACTCACACACCTTATACTAGATAGAGTGAGAGGAAAACAGTGGAGAGGACTGAGAGTTGGCCAAAAAGCCCCAAATATATCACACATGATGTTTACTGATGACCCCGTGCTCTTTGCCGAGGCTAATACTGACCAAATTGAAATTATTTTAAATTGTTTACAGGTATTTAGCACCAACTCAGGATACACAGTGAGCAGCGAGAAGACCCAAATTTATTTCTCTCCAAATGTACAACAGAGGGTGAGAAAAAACATATGCGACAAGTGCAGATTTAAGCAAGTTGATGATTTAGGAAGATACCTAGGAGCAGATATAATCCACCACAGGAGGAAACGAGAAAGTATAAAACAGTGGGGGGGAAATGAAGAAAAGGTTGAATAGATGGAAAACTGATGGCTTGTCGCTAGCAGGGCGGATGACGCTAGTGAAGTCAATGACTAATTCCGTGGCACTGTTTCCCATGCAGCATAAGCAAATTCCATAGGGGGTGCCAAACACCTTAGAGTAGGAACGGAGGAAATTTATATGGGGAGAGTAAGAAGGAAGCAAAAGATGGCATCTATTAGCGTGGAACATGCTCTGGAGCCCAAAGGAGAGCGGGGGGTGGACATCAAGTCACTCAAATGCATAAATGAAGCTTTCCTTCTCAAATTACTATGGAGAATCAGAACTACACCAAATGAACTCTGGGTACGAGTTCTCACAGCAAAGTATGAGGGAGGGAAGATAAACAAGGGAGGATGATTACGAAGAGCCATGATTCAAGACTATGGAGAGAGCTAGCTAAGATGTCAAAGTGCTTTCAAGATCTGACTAGCATGGACATCCGAAATGGAGCTAGAACAAGAGTCTGGTTAGATAAATGGGTACAAGGAGAAAGCAGACTCATTAATCTAATCCCACCAGATCAGAGTATAAACAAGGACCTGAGAGTTAAAGACTTATTAGATGAAGAAGCCAGCTGGAACGTGAGGGAGCTAGAACAATGGCTACCACAAGCAGTTTTAGAGAAAATAACACAAGCAATCCCACCTTACAATAGGGAGGGAGAAGAAGACAGGATCAAGTGGAGCTTGATAGGAGATGGAAATTTCTCTACTAAAAACGCCTACCGGCGGCTAAAAGGAAGTCAAAGGGGAGAAGGGAGTAAATGGTGGGGGAATCTTTGGAAATTAAGAGTACCTGAGGGAGTTAAAACATTCATATGGATGATGGGCCATAAAAGACTTCTGACACGCAGTCTTATAAAGAAATGGGATGGTAACTCAGCGATCTGCTTGATCTACAACAACCAAGAAGAGGATAAATCACATGCCTTAAGAAACTGCCCTTGGGTGAAGGAAATATGGAGAAAACTCTTAACGAAAAATGATCAGGTGAGTCATGGAAAGCATGGATAGAGAACAACATGATGATCAAGCGAGGAAGAGGGAAAGATTATACTGGCCTGAGATTTTTGCTACAGGATGTTGGGCAATATGGAGATGGAGAAATCTCATACTTCATGACCAGGAAAGGGCAATACCATGCAATGCGGATAGAACTATCAAGCAATATCATGAAAACTACATGAGCAGATGGGATAGAGATACTATACAAAGGAGAGAGGAGGACATAAACTATGTCGCTTGGAAACCACCTCCTAATGGCTGGCGTAAAGTCAACACTAATGGAATGGTTACAAGGGGTGGTGAAGTAGGATGTGGAGGGGTAATAAGGGGAGATACAAGGAGTTTGTCAAGGGCTTTTCAATACAATTAAGTGCAGAAAATATATTGGAAGCAGAAGCTTGGGGGATCCTGGAAGGGATGAAGCTATGCTTGGAGCTGGGATTTAAAAAGGTAGAAATAGAAGGAGATGACGCGAATTTGATAGATGAGCTGAATACAAGGGCGAGAATAAGTGGGAACTATCTGCTATCACGGAAAATCAAAGAACTATTAGGAAGGGATTGGACGGTTAGATTTCTACACATCCAGAGAGAAGGGAACAGGAGGGCTGATAGACTTGCCAAACTGAGTAGACAACAAGCTTCACTAAGGACAAACTGGATTCAACCTCCGGAGGAAGTCGGGGAGGACCTGCAAGCTGACTTGATAGGAATAGGATGTTTTAGATAGTCTTCTTTGTCTCTTTTTGTTTTCTAGGCGATTGCCTCACTTGTCACCAAAAAAAAAAACTTCTCTTTCTGCCCTATAAACAGGGCCAAAGGACTATTATATAATTTCTCTTTTATTTTTTTTTTATCATAACTCCTACACCCATTGCCTATGCTCCATAAAGGGTTAAAACTCACAACATTATGAGAGGAGATATTCTCATAATCCTTTTTTCTCATTTTCTTCTTAGAATCCTATCTCCACCTTTAGATTAAATAATGAATTGTTCAAATTTCATACTTTATAAAACTATTATTATAACACTGCATAAATAGGAGAGAGAAAGTGGACATCTACTTTTTAAAATATTAAATCTGAACCATCTATTATTTGATCCAATGGTAAAGATGAGAGTATGAGAAAAAACTAAGGAAAATTGATTTTGAGAAGATCTAGACCCACATTATACTTAAAAATGCCCTAATGAATGTGCCTGACGTCATTTGGACTACAAGACTGTAGCTTCTCTTTCATATTTATTTTGATATTACTACCTCCGTCTTTAAAATAAGAGTTTGCTTGACTTTTATTTTAATTCTAAATATAAAATATCAATCCACTTTATCTTTCATATTTATCATTTTTTTCTCCAAATTAGTCCTTGTAATAATAGTAACTCTAACCAATACACTTGATTAGCAAGAATACTTTAGAAAAGATAATACTAATTTATTACAAATAACTAATATAACTAATTTTCTTAATCTAGTCAAATTAGTTAATTAGTTCTTGTATTAAAAACTAAGGGTAGTATATTTTTTTATTAAAAGACAATTTTTTTTATTGCCCACCCAATTCACCGGAGCTTTGCTCCGACTACATCTAGATCTGACCCGCGTTACGTATCTGGCTGTAGTGGGTGAGTCTCCCAACAGAAATTTTTGCATATACTGAGGGTCGAACTCGAGACCTCACTTAAGCGGTACCAAACCGCTTACCACTTAGACCAACCCCCGTTTGTTATTAAAAGACAAATTTGTTCAAACTATGTAGAAAGATTATGGAGGAAAGGCCGACCAATCACATGTGGCTAATACGAGCAAAGCCCAAAAACACACTGACGCCACAACATCTGAAACAAAAACTATTAACACACAGGCCAAAAAAAGGGTCAGTATTTTAAAGACTAATCAAAGCTTAAGTCCCAACTCGAACCAGCTGCAACACTACCAAACTGAACACTGCTTGAAGTCTCAAAAAAGAGGAACAGAAACTACCCATAACCACCCATAAATCAAGGGACTTGAGAGGGCGCCACGGATCACAGTAGAAGTAAAAATAGAAAAACTCAATTAGTGTCCTAGACAAATTCGAAGAGCATCTTATGTTTTGGAGGAAGCAAATTCTCTTCAAAGAATCTTAAATTTTAAGTTCTGAGGGAGTAAGGAGGTTCCAAAATTGTTAATCATTGTCAAGTCATAATTAAGGAGTAAATAACTTGATGGACAAAAGGGCGACACGTGTCTGAAAAATGGCTCGGATCACGAATCGGAGCCATTGGATGCTTATCAATCTGCATCATCAATTTTCCCTCAACCATAAGCCTTTTTTTGTCGTATGATTATGCTTCTAGTGACTTTCTGCAAGTATGAATAGGCGAAACTAAATGAAATGTCCTTAAAATAATAATATGCTTTTTTAATATCATCCGAGATTGTTGGTAGCAATAATAATGACTGAGAACTTTATAGGCATTGGACTTGTTTTCTTGATGGGATTAACTATCCCTTGTTCTTACTAATTTTGATCATCAATCCCCAAAAAACCAAATCAAAACATTTTTTAAAAAAAAAGGAGCTTCAAACGATGTTTGCTTCTCTAGAGCAGTCCCAGTCGGGTCTTGATCCTCTCACAATCCTTCTTTTCTTTTTTCTTCTCAGAATCTAATCTCCACCTTTGGATCAAATAATAAATAGTTCGGATTTCATATTTTATAAAACTATTATTATAACATTACATAAATAGGAAAGAGAAGATGGATATCTGCTTTTTAAAATATTAAATCTGAACCATCTATTATTTGATTTAATGGTGGAGATGAGATTCTAAGAAGAAAAAGAGAAAGAAGGATTCTGAGATAACCCAAATCTGTCCCAGTCTAAGTCTGCCCTTCTTCCTTTGATATGTATCTGACAATAATACCCATCAAATTGAGGATTGTAGAGTCACAGTTGAACATAGCTCTTTCAACGTGGTTTAAATAAGCTTCTCTAGGAAGAGCAATTTTAATGTCTGCTCGAATAGGACCCAAGCTCTACATCTTCTCATCGATTTAGGTACTGTTTAGATTAGTTTTTTAGAAATAATTTTATAAAATTAAAGATAAGTAGATGAGAATAATTTTGTTTTGGCTGGTATGAAAATACCCTTTTAAGTACTTTGAGGGATCTCAAATACCCTTAACGTGAATATCAGATTATAGTTGAGAAGTATGAGCTATGAAATTATGGATCCTCCATCATTTGGTTGGGTGCAAAATTATAGTTGGTTGAATTTGCTTCTATGCTCCGAGGGCAAAAACCATACTACCTTCTGTACTTAATAATAGGTTGCTTTCATTTCAAATATAAGACATTAATTTATTTTGTCTTCTAAATTTATAATTTTTTTCCAGAATATCCACACTAATTTGCATGTTGTAAGGGATTTTTAATGTAAGGGTAGTTACAAAGAACATGATTAGAATAAAATATTATAGAGAAATCAACACATATTATTACAAATAACAAATTTAACTAATCTTTTAACATCCATAAATTAGTTATCTTACTCTTTTATTGAGATTAGAGGGAGTGATATTGATGCTGGATCAGGTCCATTTTGACATCATGGAAAGCGAATAAATTATTTTTCCCGTTCTTGTCAATTATATTTATTATATATTTATAATTTTTATTTAATAATTAATTTCTATTCATTTTTATTTTTTTAGGTAAAAACTTAATTGAGTGAGTTTCATCATTATGAATTATACCAATCTTTATTATTTAAAAAAAATTATGTATATTATTTTTAAAACAGAGACTAAAAAATACTTTTTCAAAAAAAATATTTTTCTTCATGTATACCAAACAAGACAAGAAGATAGTGTTAGTGCACCTTAAGAATATTTTTTTAAAAAAGTGCCCGATAATAAAATGGACTCTCACGTTATTCCTTTCTTGCTTGTGTACAGTTGTACACTTTTAGAATTCACGTGCTATAAACTGTTTGGATGCTCCCTTCTTCCAATTTAGGATGATTTTCTTACCATGCTAAAATCTTTTACTACGATTTCTATTATGATGAGTAATTCTTCCGTTTTCTTTTCTAGTTTAGATTATTAGCTGTATATTAACTCTATATTATAATCTTTTTATCTTAACAATATTTGTCTTTTTATTGAAAAGAAAAGTCTTCGGATTCTCTCCCATCATTTTTCTACCTTCCTCTCTGGCTGCTTCAAAGTAATGCAAAATATTAATACTTTACAGTAACCATGTTTTATAGTCTCAAATTTATTACTTCTTCCCTTTCAATTTATAAGATGTTTCTGAAATAAATTGTGAATACCAAGAAAATATAGTTAGAAATCTTAATTTTTATAAAGAATGCAAACTTTCAAAAATGACTTTCATTTAATACTAATCCCTAATTAACTCACACTTAATTAATGCAGGTGTTTTGGAACAAGGTCATTAATGAATCATTTTTTTCTAAAACATCTTATGCTATAAAATATGAAATTACTCCACACAAAAGGAAAAAAAAAAAAAAAAAAGCTCTATAAATTGAAATGGAGGGAGCAGAATTTTACTTGTATACAGAGACGACCGGAGAGAAAGCTCAAGAGAGAATCCAAAATGCTACTATCTAAGTATCCAACGCATGTCAAATATGGATGCGGTCTACACATAGATTGGTAAAGACATTTGCCATTAACATGATATAAAAATGCAGCAGACAAATTAATTTCCATCAAAGTTAAAATGTAACTAAATGTGGACTACAATTTCCACTATTGAAAGGCCAACAACTTCTCCAAGATTTTCTGAAAATTAATATCGTTCTTTTCATTCAACTTGAGAATGAACTCTTAATTGCTTATAAGAGCAATGATGTGAGGAAACCAAGTCATAGCACAAACCGCTGTGTATGTATGTCAAACCTCTCAGAAGAGGATAGTTGTGCATCCTGTAAAGCCCAATTCAAAACCTTCTGTAGCGTCAACCTCACATATCATGGTGAATTATCCAATATTACGAACTGATATATATTCATATATGTACAGATAGACCAAGTGATGGCACTAGCACAAGATTGAATGAATAAAATGAATAAAAAAGGAAATTTAATTTTTTATTAAAACGGTTGTTTGCAGATGGGCAATACTTTTTTATGGATAGTGATAGCATGGATATTATAGATATTAGATATGCAATACCTGTCTGATGCGATCCATGCCTAGCATTTTATTTAGCAGTGAAATGATGGGACCATTTAGGGCAACTATACCAATTTTAGCTCCTCTGATTGCAGCACGAATGGCAGTTAACAAGCGACTATAGGTTAATCCAGGTTCATTTTGCACTGCCTGTATGAAACTATAAGTCAAGGCACCAGTAACAACCTTTCCACCAAAGGCCTACCAAAAACAGGCAACCCCACATAAGTCCATGATGCTCACAAACACCTTTGATCAATTCACATGAAAGTCAAAAGAATGAGAAATGAATTATACGAACTGATGTATCTGCAGAGGATCCTGCATCATCGCAAGCTGATATACAAATTGCAAGCCCTCCTCTTGTACCTTTATAATCAGCCCTCGGCTGTGTATGATCTTCCCAGGTGTAAAACCCTTCCCTTACGGATCAAAAAGGAAGCATTAATGTATTAACATATCAAACTGATGTACTGTGAAAATTTTTGTTCCTTTTCATTTATTCTCCATCATGTCCTACGTCAAGAACTTAATTCACAATAAGAACAGGAGGTTTCAGAAAACAAGACTTTCTACAACTAACCTGCTCATTTTGCACACAAAAGGTAGATCAAGAATGGTCCCACTGTGGCATGCGTCAACAATGGCATGAAGTTTTGCACCACGAGGCAGTGGCCTGACTATCGTTGCATTGATCTCATCATCAATAATCATCCCATTGAGCTCATAATCAACTGGTAATAGTGCTTCATCGTAACCGTCTATCTCGTCCATGTTATGGTCCACTTCTTGTGTGCCATGCCCTGAGAAGTGGAACACCAGTGAGTCCCCTGGCCTGCAACCCTCGACCAGCCAACGCATTGCTGTTTGAATGTTCTTTTTGGTCGGGATTTTCAGTGGGTTTTTCTCCTCCTTATCATCTGAAGATAGGTTTTTTGAATGTTCGAAATTAGTGTAGAGCGAAACAAACTGAGACCTAATGATTCAAATTAGACCAGTACCTCATTGCCATTTTCTTTCTTGTCATTTCGAAACAGGTTTTATCCCCGAATTTTTCATTTGGCTAAATTTAGATATCACAGTGTACATTTGTATTTGCTTCATACTTTAGAGGGGGGGGGGGGGGAACCACTGTCATAGTGCTATGCCATGATACGTATAAATAAGCCAACCCGACTGACACGTGGACTTTTCTAATTAAGACAATTTCATAGGACTAATTGAACATTATAAATAATTTACACTGAGTTAGACCCACTGTAACAGCTAGGCAACTGTTAACTGAGATGAAATTATTACCCGTGAGCATAAGAATGGAGTCGCCAGGGAATCCAAACTGGTTGATAAGAAAATATCTCATGAACTTAACATCATTTAGAGAACCTTTAAGCCTGTAACTTCGTCCATGGTAGCAAATTCCACACAGCAATGCTCTCTTTGAACCATATGCAGAGGCAGGAACCAACGGAGCTGGTGGCCTTAATAGCTGAGGCTGAGGATAATAGCCATAATTAGGTATCCCATAGCCTACATTGCTGTTAAATGAACCAGTGATCATAGTATTTATGAACCCTCTTAACCTGTTTGCAGCATGAGACATAGAGTTATAAACCAGACTCAGTGTATTGCTGGCTTGACCAATCCGAGTGATGCCATGGCACACTGCACACTTGAAGGTGTGAACCTCTGGTGCCACTAGCAGTAGTCTTCCGCAGTGGCCGCACCTTTCTTTTCTCTCTGCCATGGTCTGGTTTACTTTTGTATTCTTTTTAAGAGTGGTGAGGCAAATAAAAGAAGGAAAGGTTTTAGAAAACGTGAAACCATAGGAGACTTCTCATTAGAGGTACCTCTATGAAAATTTATTCTTATCTGTTCTGGGGATTGGAGAGCCATGTATAGAATCAGATTCCACTAGCTTTTTATAGTGGAGATAGAATATCTTGACTTTCTTGTTGCTGCCAATTTCAATGTATATAACAGTAGACAAAGAATAAAAACATGAACCGCAAAATAAGCAATCCGTGATTTCTAGCTTTCTAATATGATTATAAATTTAAAAACTTTGACTCATAATCGGCTGTGAACCGTTGGCCAATGATTTATCTGGACAAAAATACTAGTGCAATCCTCCGAATATTGTGTCATTTTCAATCTGAGATTTTTTTGTCTCACTTCAGTAATCAGAGAATATGATTTCATTCCAACATCATCCTTTCAGGCTAATAAAATAATATCTGCACAATGTTTCGAGAACTAGAAGATTGTCATGCTTTCAGGTGCTGCAATGATATTAAAGAAAAGGTAGAGTAACAAATTGGAAATAGGAGGAAGTGGATGTTATCTTGATAAAATTGTCAACTTCGACCCCTCTTCTCTGCATTGCATTCTTCACCTTGAAATCTAGAACACTTCTGAAATTGAATGCATTGGTCAGGGTAAACGAAGTGTTTAGAGGTTTCATCATTCATGCGAGTCCTTTTACAGAATCACATGCTTTTGAACTAAATTCCTAATTAGTTGAGGAAATCGAGGGAAATATGTCCATACTGATTATCTGCTACTCTGTCTCAAGAATTATTCAAATGCTCATTGCTTGAGCTATGTGATAGGTCAATGTCCAGAACAGAAAACATCTTGTTGGAGTCATTTTAGAGTGATTATTTTACCTGGGGCCAGTTAATTAATATGCATTATGCACAATTAGATGTCAATTGTTAAGGCGCGGGGAATAATTATGCATTCTGTTCAATTAGATTTCAATTGCTAAGACTTCTTCTTCTTCTTCTTTTTGTTTGTTCCCCCGGGGGGGAGGGGGGATCGTGTTTGTACATCTTCGATTGTTTATTGCCCAACCTACATTATGTCACAACGAGAAAAGGAATAGATTAGACTGAAAATTGCAAATTTACACGTTATGAAAAGTACACTATGCCATTAGGCATGTTAGTCTGTGTAGTAGTGTGTAAGCTGACATGTCTCAATTAAACACGACCTAACCAAAGAATCGTCACTTCATCCATTACGCATGTTAGTTTGTAAAGACGTATTATGCATCCTGACATGTCTTAATTAAACATCACCTAACCAAAGAATTATCACTTTATATCGAAGTTGTGTCTTTGCAATGTCTCATATGACACAGTTTTTGCATATGCAATTCCACGTCTGCATCCCTATGACTGGACATGGTGATCATAAAACCAAATTAGGCCAACAATTATTACAGAAAATCTCTGCAAGACTAAATTATTTTGACAAGACAAAAATTCTACCTAAAACTTGATATAGAACAAAATTATGTTATGTCTATTAAACAATGGGTTTATTATAACATTTATGAAGAATTAAACTATAACCAGAGTTCTAATTCTCACGAAGATGCAATGCTACAGGACACATAAGTGGCTGCTGCTAGGCACAAATTCACACTTCATGGAAACTGCGTCCTCATGGGGAAGAATATTGTGAAAAATTTGTAAATTTGTAGAGACCATTCATAGCATGGCAATTCCAACTAAAACAAGTGTTTCTGTCCTTGATTTACTCTCTCATTACAAAGGAAGCAGGAACCAGATTCTTAATTCTGGAAACCAAAGATGCTTTGCTTATTGAAGGATACAACTCATTTATATTTTTAGAATGTCTGCTACAGATAAACACCCAACATAAAAATATGTTTCACGACTTACATTACATGATTAGTTCTTCAGGAAAACTCTCTACAAAATGTTTTTTCTATTGGGGAATGACAAAATATTTTATAAAGTTTTGTCTCTCGTTTAAACTGAACATGATATATATTTATCCAATTATTGAGTTAGGTGTATGACAAAAGCAAAACATCATGAAATCATATGTAACATTCATGGCATGGGTGGTACAGATGAACGGAAGGAATATTGAGTCAAGAAGTGACAGAGATGTCCTGTTAAGTATTCTAAAAAAATTTTTCCTCTTCGTGAATTTCTCCATTTTTCCCTCGCGCTCTTGAAAGTGTTTACTTGAAAGTGTGAGAGTAAGTACCCAGTTTATGCTTCAATTTCTGGTTCCCCCATTCATGATCTCAAGATCTATTTTCAGAACTCCATGTTTGCAAACCCCTGCACTGAGAAACTAAAAAAAAAAAAATATTGTCTCAGCTTGATTGTACAAAACAAGAGCTCCTTCTACTAGAAGGAAACATCATGAGTAAAAGTTGTACGGACAAGATTGTTATTTCCACCTTACCAGCTCATAATGCGAATGTCCTCTTAAAAACATCAAATTTTTCAGATGATGATAGAATAGCATCCTGAAAATTTCCACGTAAATTCAATTCACGTTAATATAAATCATGACATGCTAATTATGATTTAGAAGGAGAAAATGAATGGAGAAAAAACGGTTACACGATATTCTTAATATTGTTTAGGAGTTAACCCAATGCTGCTTTCATTACCATTGATGAACTATATAATCAGATTCTGTGCTTAAGAAATTGAAAAGAGAAACCTCTGGCCCAAGAAAACTTGACAGGACAAAGCTCTGCGAATATGCAGAAAGCCCCTGCTTGCTTGAGAGTTGTATGTTTGGTTATTTCATGCTGGACAGAATCTCACAATTGGGAAGAACCATGTTCTACTCACATGGCATGGGGTTTTAAAGATTATGTTCGATATTTATCACCCTACCAGGAAGCTTAAGCTTATCGGCAAGGGCCATATGACGACAGTTATATTTACAAAGGAGATGTTTTGCTAGCGAAGTAGCCATCATCACCTACTAGTGAAAAAGTCAGAGAATCACCCGCTCAACAGTATCTTGGGATAAATTCTCCCACTCGTACCATCAATGAACGGGAAAGAAACCAACCTGAGAAATATAATGCCGGTGACGACGACGACGAAATATTCTGGGATTACAGCTCTTTTGATTAACCACTGCAATTCCCTCTTGGACCTTCTCTAGGATCCCTCCATATGTTATATCTGGGTTTTCTTTGATTGCTTTTATAAAAAGATATGTCATAACACCATGCATTCCCTTTCTAAAAGCCTGCATAAGTTGGTCAAAGCTCGTATTGAATAAGCATCCACATTGCATTGTAAGGGGAAAATTTGGGGGGGGGGGGGGGGAGAAAAAGAAAAAAGAATTTTACCGTTGTATCAACAGCAATCTGATTATCTTCACAAGCGCTGAAAGAAATGGCTAGACCACCACTTGTATGTTTTCTCATAGGCACTTTTGCAGGTGGTTTGTTGTCCTCCCACTCATGGCTGCAAGCAGCTAAGAAATGTTATCAGATTATAATAAATATAAGGTTAATATAATTTTTGGTCCCTTAATTTTGTTCTCATTTTGGTTTTAGTCCTTCAAGTTCCAAACCATAAGTTTTGGTCCCTCAAGACACAAAATGATCCAAGTTTTTACTAAATTATAGAAGCTAAATGGGGGAAGGAAAAAAAACTTGATATCAGAATCTATAATTTGAAACTTGAGGAACTAAAGATTGTATTAACTTTAAATATTATAAGTTAAGGGCTTCAATTTAGTAGCTTGGGCATTTGAATTGAAATATTCTAATGTTAGAGCCTTTATAATGAAGTAGTTAAGAGCCAGATCCGTAACAAAATTTCAAGCCTGAGGTATACCAAGCGTTTGATCTGAAACAGTCATGGTGTAGAGATTGATGATTTTGACTTCAAGGAAGTCGAAGTTGGGTTGCTTGGAAACAGAACGAACAGAGAAAATACCCAAAATGGACTTACTTCTCTAGTTTATAGACATAGGCAAGATCAAGTATTGTGCCACTATGACAAGCGTCAACAATAGCATGAAGTGTGACGCCATTCTTTAGGGGCCAAACAAGGATAGAGTTCAATTCATTGTCAATGATCATGCCTTCTCGGACAAAATCAACTGGACAAAGAGTTTCATCGAACCCATCAAGCTCATCTTCCTTCAAATCAGGCTGTTGTAACCCATGTCCTGAGAAGTAAAAGACCAGTGAGTCTCCTGGTCGGCAGCCCTCCACAAGCCACTTTAAGGACTCTAATATGTTCTTCTTCGTTGGAACTAAACGTTGATCTTTCTCTTCTTCTGCAATTTGGTTTATTTAATTTTGGAAAGATATTCATCTTTATATCAGTATTTGCAATATTAAACAAGGGAAAAGTTGAGCATTTAGTTATGAGACACGAGATATCAGATGCTAAGGGGGAAAGAACCCTGGTAAATGACAAATTTGCATCAATAATACTACCCAAAAAATTGCTTCAACGACAATTACATTTAGATTACTTCAAAGCTTTGAGAAACAAACTGATATTAATCTCTTCATCTTCAAAATTTTATCAAAGATACCTTACCGTGGATTATCGAAGTTCGAGATTATAGTAAACTACATATGAGGTTTTACGTAGTTTTTGAGCAGTAGATCTTGATGCTATCTCAGAGTCTTTAATAACCCAGTGATTCGGAGTTCAGTTCATATTGTCTTATTCCCAAATAAAAGTCTTAAGGGAAAAGTAAAGGTTTATTTATCAAGCTATTCATTGGCTTTTGCTCAAAAGACAAACTTTTGAGGACATTTTAACATATTACGGGTTCAGAGAAGTTGCGTATACTCGAGCAGAAAAGTTAAATCTTAGTTAACAGTTAAGAGCACGCAAGATAGTATCATCAGCTAAAAGGTTTCAAGAGACACCTGTGAGGATACGTATGCTCTCTTTAGGGAAATCAAATATTTTAACCAGCATCTCTCTCATGTTCATAACATCATTAATGGTTCCCTTGAGCTTGTATCTCCTTTTCTTGTAGGTAACTCCGCAGAGCACTGCTCGCTTGTTACATCTGCTAGACAAGGTGGAGGACCCTGTTGAAGATGATGACAACTGATGACTCTGCATATTAGCATATGTCTGTTAACCCCGTTATGCAGTAGCAAAGTAAAATGCTCGAGAAAAACCTTCTGAAGACAATTCAATAATCTCGATACTCTCAAATTAAAATACTGTTATGTAAAGAATTCAATACATCACCTTGTCAGGCCGATTATGTTTGAACAATATAGAACCAAGTTTTAGCTTTTGGCCGGGAATTGGACTATCAGAGCTCCATTGCCCGTGCCCTGAAGTCGTAGTAACAGCTTGGCAGATGGAGCATCGGTATGCAGTAGTCTTTATGGGAACTATAAATTCTCCCCCACAGCCTGAGCAGTTAATCTTTGCTTGCTCATTTGGACGTGAACAAATAATCGTCTGGCACTTACGGCAACGATATACAGTTGTACTTGTGGGAAACAAGATACCCCTTCTGCAGGTTCCGCATTTTGGTTTAGCATCCATAGTTTTCTGTGTAATTTTCTGAGGGAGAGTAGACCAAAATGCATATGATGAAATGAAACCACATAAACCACTTTCACCGTTGTGAATTCATTTGTTATGATGGCAGGCAGTAGCCTATAGAAAGGTTGAAAGCTATTGCCAACTAATAACTTCAAAATCAAGGGGCACACGCTCGAAGAAGTTTATCCCAGACGTAACAAGTGTCTTTTGAGGAAAGCACATTCGAAGCGAAATCATATAAATACTTCCCAGGGAATGCGATCAATAACAAGAGAATTGCGTTATAAACAAAATCTGAAAAAACTCTAAAATGGTTACAGTAACACAGAAAAAAGATTAATGGGATATCGGAAATTATGGTAGATATAGAATCAAACCGCACTCTTGAGGCAAATGTAGGGTGCTGAATTTGATAGGTCGGAGTACAATTTAGTCAATCCTGAAGTGCAAAGCTGGCCACAAACGCCGAGATTCACTGAAAAGACCTAATTCATATGAAACAAGTGGAAAATTGCGTCGATCAAAGACGCATCTCATTTGCGCGTTAAGCTAAGATATGCTTTTCTTGATTCGCCCAACAAAGCAGCTAGAACCAGATGCCCTCAACTTTTGATTTCTTTGGTCGCTGAAAGTGTAATTTACTAATTTGTCATCGGTATTCCTTTTTCTTTCTTGTTTCTTCTTCTTCCCATAGCGTAGCTTGATTGGCATCGTTGGCTTCTTGAACATAAAGACCTAAAAGCTTCAAGATAATCATCGGGATTCATGATTGCGATTCTCACCGAGATCAAACGTCTGGCTGAGGTAATTTAACTCGTGGTTCAGTCATCAATTTGCGACTTACGGAGTTCGGCGAGCAAGAAATTCTACTCGGAATATTGTGTCACCTTGTGCATGACTGCATGACAGCTTACCGAACGTACCCCAGGACGCGGATTCTTCCATATACTGAGATTGTTTGGTTGATTAATTAACTAAAATGTTTAATATTCTGTTTTCACATACTTATCTGTTCATCCGGAAAGCTGCAAAATTAGTTTTGAAAAACTAATCAGAACACTTCTAGATATCTTCTTTTTTATTTGAAATGTATAAAATATGTTCTTAGCATAAGACTTGTAAATTTTAATAGAAATTAAAGTCATCATATTCATACTGTTAATTATTTTTATTTCCTTAAGATTACAAATTGGTTTCATCTAAAAATATATTATACCCTCACTTCTAAATATATAATCTAATTTATAGTGTAAATTGTTTCAACCTCCGTAAATCTGTTATGCCATTTTTATTTTTATTGGAAAAAAATTCTTTTAATGTTATCTCAAAGAAAACGCATAAAAAACCTTGGGTTCGAACTCACATTTTGTCAAATATAAGTTGCACTATTATTAATTGAAGTATAATAACTTTTAGAATTAATATAATCTTTGCTCCTTCAAGTTTATTCTTATTTTGATTTTGGTTCCTTAAGTTTCAAATTGTAAGTTTTGGTCTCTCAAAAAACAAAATGTTCTAGATTTTTATTAAATTATGAAGATCAATATTTTAAATTAAAGGAGATTTAAGGAACTAAAACCTATGATTTGAAATTTGAAAGATTAAAATGAAAATGATAACAAATTTGAAGAACCAAAAATTGTATTAACCATAACTTTTAATAATGAAAAATGAAATATGATCTCTTTTAATGTTTATTCAAGAGAAAAGGTGTGCACATATTTGTCTGGGAGAGCTACCTAGGCTCCACAATGGTCAAATGTAATCTAATAGTATCAAATATCAAATATTATATAAATAAAATGCCTACGTTAATATTATAAAATACGAAGTTACAAATATAATGGCAAATAATAAGGTATATAATATTTATTATTCCTCTAGTCGTTCATGTAAAACATATTTTGTTATGTAAATCATATTACAAAATAAGTCTTATATTAAAAATAAGAGGGAGTACTCATATACTTATATTAATATATTTTTCTTAAAATCTTGTGTATATTATAATGATGCTATCACAAAGAATCAGCTAATCAAAAAAGACTACCTGGGGAGGGGTTGACTAGCAGGAGACTGAGTGAAGCGGCCCCTCGGTTCTTCATATACTGTGACATCCTTGATTTAAATGGGTTATTTGATTTTAAAAAAAAAAAACACACAAATTCTCTCCTATTAAAGACAATTCTATTTGAGTTATTATTAGTTACTAAATGTGGATACATTTTTCAATAAAAATGCATATCTTGACTTCTCACATTATGTAAAACTAGTTGATCTAACCATTCCATTTGTTGTCATTACTGAAAAAGTAACCAACACATTTTATAGTTCAGGCACTATGAATTTTTTAGCCCAATAAAACCATGAAGAGTCTTTTAGGCCCAAAACTATATAATCCTGGGCCCGAATCTATAATATGCCGGTTTCCAGGCCGGAAAGCTATGTTCGATTGAATTCAATAATGATGAAATAATCCAATAATACTGGATATTAGATAATTACGTTAAAAAATAAAAGTATTTTTTCACCAGCTGATTATTAGAGTTTATTATCAAGAAAAGGACTGAATTTTTTTTCCATTTTTTCCGGCCAAACTGAATTTTTTTCCTTTAATTTTATTTATTTATTTATGGATGTAACCTGTTCAAATTGGATGTTAAGAGGGAAGCATTTTTCTTGTTTAAATGACAGAAGGATCTTTAATTAGTTAGGCATGATATATAGTGGACATCAAGGAATTATTTTTTTTAAAAAAATTTGTTGAAATTCTCTATCCAATAAAGTTTTACTCATTATTTTAATAAAAAGGGTTATATAATTTCATGCATTTTAAGTGTAAATTAAGGAAACAATCATCAAACAGGCCGAAATTAAAGCACTTTTTTAAAGGATAAAGCTATGTCAAGTTACTGTTCTCACCAGTTACTACCTGATATAATTATATTCAGGCGTCAACAAAACAATTATAATAATCCAAGTGCTGGTAAAAAAAAACTATAATAATCCAAGTTATACGTGTTAATAGTTTGCGTTAGTATAATCTTTAGTTCTTTAAGTTTGTCCTCATTTTGATTTTAATTATTCAAGTTTCAAACCTTAAGTTTTGATCTCTTAAAAGGCAAAACAGTCAAAGTATTTATTAAATTATATGAACTAATATTTTAAATGAAGAAAACTTGAGGGACCAACATTAAAAGAAAAACAAACTTGAGGCTCCCAAAATTGTATTAATCCTAATAGTTTTTTTTTTATATAGCACAAAATGTTATATTAAATGTAAAATAAAATTTCTACAAAGAAGAGAGAGAAGGAGGACAAGATCAAATTCGATTCAGTAAGCCGAAAGAAAAGGGGATTTTGTGTTAAACATGAAGAGACACTTGAGAAAGCCATAAGATATAAAAATTGCTTCTTAATACATAAGATTTTCAAAGGGTCACTTCTTAAAAGAAAGAAATTGTAAATGAAGAGTCGTATATCGAAAATAATGAATCCTGAAAATATGTAGATTAGCATTTTGCCTTTTCTACAAGAATTGTTGTAAGGATGAACCAAACAACTATATCATAATAGCACATCAAAAGACAAGTTATTACTATTGTCTCCAATCCTTGATATAAAGGTTAATTAGAGAATTAAATTTGATTTTAAATATAATATCTCAATTTACTGTCTTTCAAATTTATAATTTATTATCTAAAATATCCTCATTGATTACACATATTAAGCATGTTCCCATCCAAAGGTGGTCATAATTAAAAGGACACATTTTAGAAAAATTAATAAGAGAATTACAATGAGATCCCAAGAAAAAAAATAATTACTAAAAAGTCTTAATAACAACCTAAACAACCTGTAAGAACAAGTTTCAAAGTAGAAAATGACAACTTCTAAGACTTGTTTTGTAATTCTCCCAAAATCAATTCATATTTTTTACAAATAAATAAATAACTAACTTTCTTAATATATTCAATTAATTAAATAGCTCTTATATTAAAAATTATGTGTAGTAACTTAATACTTTTGCTTACTCAAACATGAAGTTTGGTCTGTCACGAAATTAAATAAATACATAAAGAGTTTTAATAATTAGAATCCCTATCCTGCGTAGATCCCACCCGTGCACCTATAATTAAATAAAATATTTGAATTGATTATTAATGGGTCGGCCAAATGCATTGATCCTAATTAATATAAGGGATTAGGTCTCACTTAATTAAGTATAATGGCTTAGTTTAAATTCATGCCATCATGATTTGGAAAACTTAACATCCAAGTACTAGTACAGTAGTTGCATTGACCACTTTTGTAGACTTTATTTATCGTATTTAAAATTAAGGAAAAACCATATTGAAGGTACCTATACTTTCTCTTCATTTTTAATTTGGTACCTATGTGTTTTTCCCCTTTAATTAAACATTTAATTTTATCTTTTTAACAACATTAGCTCTTATAACTTTGTTCTATTGATATTTTTAGTCTCTATATAAAGATTAATGATGTTAATAGAGGAAAAATAAAGATTTAGTTAAGAAAAAAAAACACATAGGTACCAAATTGAAAATTGAAAAAAAGTATAGGTACCTCTAATATGGTTTTCCCTAAAATTAACATAAAAATAATTATTTCATTTGTCATTTCTTATACTAACTATAGGCTCACGAGAGAAGTGTATGGTTCTTTTATAGTATTATATCTTATATATATAAAAGCAGCATGAGATAAAGATCTTTAACTTGGCATGAATGCGCACACAAAAGGCGAAAAAAATTAATATCATTTTTAGGTTTTAAAATTTAATCTTACTTTAATTTTAGTTCATAAAATTTGAAACTAATGATTTTAGTTTCTGAAATTTAACTTTATTTTAGTCCTCTAAAAGTTTTTAGCTTCTGAAACAGTGTTTGTACTTCCTGAAAATCAAATAAGGTCAAATTTCACAAACAAAAAAGATATTAAAAAAAGTTAAACAATAAGATTCGTTTGAAATCACCGTT